GAAGTCAGTGACTGGAAACTTACAGAAAAGAACCCCTTTTGGAACTAGAATCCTGTGAATATTGGGAACCAGAACCTCACCGAAACCCTTATTTAAATTAATTAAAAAACCGGAACTTTACCGGAAACGATACTTATAGTTTTATAGAAAAGTTTTTTAAGATTAACTTTGGTTTCTTATTTGAAACATAATGAGTGACAGTGATAAGTACATTTTCTACTTATTTATTCCTTTTCTTAGTTTTAAACTAATGTTAAGATATCTGGTGGAAAATTGGCATTGACTCACCATAATTGACTTCAATAAATTGACAATACCAATATTTTATTATAATTCTTAAAGAATCGAATCAGAACCCGATTTTTCTTAAGTATGGAACCGAAATTTTAGTTTTTCTAGGAATCGAACCGGAACTGGAATCGTAAAAATCATAATGGTTAAAGTTCCTATAGTGTGGGTACATCTGCTATAAATTGTTCAGTTTCCGGACACACAATATCGAGAATGATTCAAAAATCATGGGGATCTATAGGTTTTTAAGTTAACGAGTGAAACCACTATTCTCTGACTTGAGTTTTTACGATATTAAAATAGAGTTTGGCGGCCATCACTTTAGGTGTTATGGTGACGGGACCGAGAGAGATGTAATTTTTTACAGATTAACGCAGACTGTTTACCCACGCTTCAACACGTATACTTTCCGTGAGAATGACATCACAACGCCGACTGCAGTCAGTCGCGTGCCGGCGGGCTGCGGTGTTGACTTGTACCCTGAGTAAGTTGTAATCACGTACACCGTATTAAAGGATTGCGAAAAACGTGGTTTTAACGACCCTCTCTGACGTAGGTCCACCATATTATATTGTAATCTGAAAACGTACAGTAATATTCTTCGGACAGGGAATAAACGCTACGGAATCGTTATGACGACAACGGCTGTAACGATTTACCTGGACATGACAGCCGACGAGTACTGCAAGGGTGAGGGAGACGACAAAAAAGTTGATCGAGAAACAACAAGATCAAATAAACCACAGCCGATATTAAAATGGGTAGATGTCATAAAAATCAAACCGATAGGTAAAAACGAATATCAAAAGCCGTGCGTGCTATTGACAGAAAACTGTAGGTAATAAAAAAAATAATTACACTCTGCTTGATTAAGATAGACAGTGGTTGACCAGTGGCTTTCAAACTTAAATGAAATATGGCACAACGTGTTCTTCAAATAATTTTCATGGCACACAATAATTAGATGAACAATATTCATTTGAATTATAATGCCTGATTGTCGAACATTTTATTAATCATATTTTTATAATTTTATTCTTAGACAAATAGTTGACATTTTTCAGAAGACCGCAGCACACTTATCGAATGCTAGTGGCACACAATTGGAAAAACACTGGTGTAGACGAACGACGACCTGCCGGTTTTGCAGTCGAAAAGTGAAATCGATAAACAAAAAATTCATGCGAATCATTCGACTTGTCAATCGATCATTTTAGAGCGATCGATAACGTGACAACCTATCAATCACTTTTGGCTAGCTGGACGACGGGTACAACAGGAAAGAGCATATTTGATATTTCCATCCACTACCAAACACAATTGTACATATGTTATCTACCCATCGAGACCTCTTTAAATTTTGCTTGTCACTGTAACGAATACAATTTTGTCGTTGTGTAAATTGTCATAATATTCTTATCATCGACAAGGCAATATTATAGAGTCGAGATACGATTGTACTCGCGGAAACGATAATGCTTTATGAAGCGCTCGAATACTCATTGCGCTCTTATCGTCGTGTGGTGTGTTTAACCTTGTCAGTGTATTTAGTGTACTTGCAGGGTCAATAATAAAAATAATAGTAATAATAAATCGTAACCGGATTCAATAACGATCATCGTACTGTGCGTATTTCGTATTTATTGCCGCGACTACAACGACTGTGAGCTGCAGTGGAGATTGTTCCGAACAACAATGTGTATTGGTTGTGTTATTCATAAAAAAAAAAATGTAATTACTCACAAAACAAAGCTACTTAACAATAATATTATTCAAGTTCCGGTGAATTCAACGGTTTTGAATCGGAATCATCGAGTATTTCATAAACTGGTCAGATCTACCTGAAACACCATGCATTACACAATATTATAATAATAATTTATAATATGATTCAAAATGATTGTGAATCGTAGTAATAATGTTAAGCATTTGAATATATTTTAGGGGGATTGCAAAAGGACAGTTTTTTAGGAGTTCAAAATAGGCAATTTTCAAATTGTATGCATGTGGTTCTTGTATATGTGTGCGTAGCAAGTGATCATTAGTGTGTGCTGCAGGTGTGTAAAATATAAAATAGCGGAGTGCCCTTAACACGATATTTTATTGTTTTTACTGATGTATTTCATTTGTATTTGTATTTAAGTTATTTTTTCTATTAGCTTAATATTCTGTATTCGCATTATTATTAATCGACTTCGGGGCGTAAAATAAATTATTATAATATTAAGAGTGTTATTAGGATTATTATTATAATATCAATATTACGTCAGCTCCGTAGAATTTTTTTAAAAGCCTTTCATCCATAAAAATGTGATAGTCGACTCGCGGCTGCCTCATCGGGATCTGCGATGACGTGACTGTAACGGGTTTTCCCGATGATATGGCGTAACAACATTAGGGAATCTATCTCGACATAATATAACAGTTGACGATCGTCAGATGAAAATTATAATCATGAAAAACTATGCTTAGTTAATACGCTTATCGGTATATTAAATTCGCGTTCGTAAATCCAACGGGCCACCGAGAATGTGACAACAATAATGCATTAGTGGGAAAATTTCAACGCGGGTATGCAATTTTGCTACACCAGCTTTCACGGTACACGTCGTTCGATATTTCGCTTCGATGACTAACCCGGACTACTCACGGTCACGATTTCGATGTAACTTTACTATTATATTATTACCCAAACAACCAGAGCCGCCTATCTCTATCTATACTGCTATATCTATTGAATTTACAGGTATGAAATCATAAAATCTACATGAAGTTCAGTAAATTGCTTATTTTTTTTTTTTTTTGTAAGTGTATTAAACTTATTTTTTAAATAAAGTACGATGATACAATATATTTATGTTTAATCTGCTTTCATTTAAAAATTATTATTAAATGTGTCATACCTACAATAGGAATGTTTTTTTTCCAATTTATACTACTTACTCCTAAAGTAGGTAATATTGTTCATATAGGACAACTTATAAACATATGTTGATACAGTACGCATACAACAGGTATACACTAGATTGTAAATAATTGAACATTGGTACCTAAATAAAGGGTTACTCAATATTTTAAGAAAAAATACTTAGTAAACAATTATCTAAGACTTATACAGATATAGATTTAGTTTGCATAGTCATTAGTCACTTATTCTTTTGTTTTCAAACAAAATGAAATCACTCGAATCATAATCATATAACTCAAATTTGAATAAGTACTTTTTTATTAACTTCTTCCAATCGCATAATGTAGGTATGTCATGAAATATTCTTCGTTAGATTTTTAGTTCATTTTAACAAAAAAAACAAGCAATAAACCTTTGAATTTGAACTGCTTTTTTTATTTCGTTATTTTACAAAAAAAAAGGATATTAGACAAATTTAAGAATTTTTAACAGTTATTAATATCATATGAGTGCATATTTTTAAATACTTACACTGTTTTCTTTCCCTATAATTTAATTTTAATTGCATATTTTATAGCATTTTCGGTTATTTTAATTGTATAGTCGCATGCATATTTCAAAAATGTTTTGAACCCTACATAGTAATTATTTATTTATATAGAAAAAAAAAAATCTGCATATTTAAGATCAGTACTTCGTAATCTTAATTGCATATTTTGAATATTTTTAGAGCAATATAATAAATTTACCGAACCATAGTGTTGTTGTTAAATCTTATTTTTAATATACATTGGTCAGAGCCGTGATATTTCAGTAAATATAGATATCTTAACTCAATAAAGGATTGCGAACTTACGAACAACCACGACAAACACGACACATGCGTCAAACTATAACAACTACCGACAAACATAATATTACATATAGGTATATATCAACAACCGTTGACCAAAACCATCTCTATCTGCAGCCGATAATCCAACCGAGAGACTAAAAACAAACCCGAAAACACACTAAATATGGAAACAGTCCTATATCATACAGGTCATCGAACGCCAACGTCCAAATGTAAATATCACTGTAATCCATCTTTTTCTGTTGTAAGTTATTGTGCAAAATTGATATCGATTAAAATAATTTGTAAATAAAATATAAATATAACAATATTTAATATCATTCTGTACCGATATCTCTCGGTCGACTTGTTCTAAACATCATAATTTCATAGTCGAGAGCTCCCCTAACCGTCAATTGAATTTCTATATAGAGTTCTAACAACGACGGTCGTCGTGGCGGTTTTGACATATCATAATAATGGAGTAATTTAATTGTAGCCATATTTTAGCATGTTCACATACATATAATGCCACACTGTCTCATACCGCAGCATCGCTCAAGGCTCAACTTGTGACTTCTATTACTAGCTATTTTCAATTTACGACTTAAGACTTTGGCCCAGGGGTCACCAAATGACCAAAGACGAAATTTATCCAGCCCGCAAACGTAAAAGAAATGTGAAAACCGTTAGTATTATACTTTCAAGCGTTGTAATATTTATCATTTTTGATCATTGGTTTTTACAGACGTCAGCAATTTTCATGGACAGTGAGTTGTGAACAGTTTTCAGACTCCCGATTCAGCCCTTCGAAAATATTATTTGGTGACCAATGAGTTGTGATAATGTGATGCTAACTTATTATTTTTCCAACACAAATTAATAATTTAATTATTATTGGACATTTTTACGTTGGCAACAAGATGATGATTTCTCCCTACACAATTTCGTACAAATAATCCTTACCTTTGTGTTTGGACATGTTGACGGATTCCAGAGGCTTGTAGAGTTTCACCGAGGTGGGATCGGTGAACGGTGGTGGGGACTCGGTACCGGATCGGGAACTGCAGCATCCGTCGTCGTCGTCCAGCTCGTCCATGGCCACCTGATGCTGTTGCTGTTGTAGAATTATTATTTGTTGCTGCTGTTGCTGCTGCTGAGGCTGGTTCTGCTGTTGTTGGTGTAACATCAGTTTTGGTCCCAGTTTCTTCACCGCGTAGTATCGGGGCATAGTAATGGAGTAAAACTACGGTCGGGGTGAAGTGAGAAAAAAAATTCTCTTATTATATAATATAATATAAATATAAAAAAAAAAATCAGATCTGAACACTGACTTGAGCACTAATCGATTATCGCTCTGCAGATGCTGTCTATATTGATTATTATATTAATGTATACCGTACACACTATAATAGTTTATATGCCTAATGTATTATTGCTTTTCGTTCGTTCGGGGGGAAAAAAAAAATTTTAAAAAAATTCAACTCAGACGTTCCGTTATCACTATAATATTGCTATTTATCATTCTTATTAATATTGTTTATTGCCGTAATGACTACGATAGTCCATTCAGCTCTATCACGAGTCAGTCCGACTCGATCGCCGTCTCGGGCCGCCGGCCGACGATCGTACAGATGTGTTGCTTATTGCCCAGGCCGATTTTTTTCTCCGGTTTGCAGCTGCAGAAGTCCCCTCGAGGTGGAAGACTTTTATTCGCTAGCCAAGTCTGCTTCGGCCCGTATGGTTGACGATGTGAGGAGTAAATACTGCTGACCACCGTCTCGTCCACCGGTGACACAACAGTGACGTCGTAGGACCTGCAACACGAAGCGTAAATCGTCCGATATCAGCACCGTTTACTCATACCAATTATTATTGCCACCCTCAGACGATCGTATCATTATATATTATAATATAAGTACTTTGCTTGATAGCCGATCGCTGAAGGTTTGGGTGTGTAGTATGTCAAATATTTTGTATATGATAATCGATTTCAAAATGTATGTATTGTTTTAAACAAATTCCTATTAATTGGTATTATGATTATGTATTAAAGACTATTACATTTAAAAGTGATTTCAACTATTTTAAAACATCACATAAACACACAAAAATGAAAATTGTTTTTGAAAATATTAAAATGGCAGTGCCCATTAATCCAAGACTATCCCCCACTTTTTTCAAATAGCATTGGAATTTGGGAGAGTGTCACCTAGTATAGTTATAGACCAAAGTGTATTGTTATCAGTTATAATGATCAAAAGTTTAGAGCTAAAATGATACGCATGTAATAACATGTATTATAATATAATACATGTTATAATTATAATTATAAGTGGAGTGAAAATGTCAAAATACGCAGAACAAATACATCGCTTGGAGTTCATTTTCAAACGTACCTAGCTTATGCGAGCTTTATAATATTTCTGTATGAATGAATGAAAATTGATTTCCGTTTTCTTTCATTTCACGTTGAAATGTTTTCTAAAAATAAAATATCGTTAAATAATGTATTCAGCAAAAAGTTCAAAATCTGCAATCGCATTGCTTACTAGTTATAATATTATCGGTTAGGTACTCAATTTATTCATAGCGAATATTTAACGTTATCGAACTGATGAAAACAAATACGATATTTCAGCCGAAACCAAACTTTACACTTGAGGCCCGCTGAAAGTTGCGTATTTTTTATGAGACCGGGATATCGCTTGTTTTTAGTTTTCGACGTTGTTCGCACCCTCATAAAACAAAACGCACGCACGTCGTACCATTTTATTTTATTTCACATAAATATTATATAATATTACATGGGCCTAACACTACATAGTATTATTAGATTAATTCGAGTCGAAAGTTTTACAGCGGTCGTGATTTCAGGCGGTTCCAAAAACTATTTTAATTTCGTCCGGACGAATGCAGATAAATATTATTGTAATATCTTGGTATATTTTATCGTACACGGCAGGACCTGTTGTAGCTGTGAAGTGTTTTTGTCTACGTTTTGAAGACATTTATTATGTCAGGTGAAAAATATCGTTGTACAAACTCCGTCGATTTTAAACAATTTGTTTTCCAAAATATTATATTATATTTTCAAACAGTTATATCATTCAAATTCAAAATTCGGTGATATTCGAAAACGCGATTAGTGAATCGTTTTGTTCCGCATAGGTACATCAAGCTCTGAACCGATTGATCTTTCAAATAATTTGAAACGAAGAAACCTACCTACCCGAGAATATAAATGGTTCCATTTTTCAATTCGATTTTTAGTCGTAAAAAAGCTCCGACGCTGGTCCCGATAGGAATGGGATTCTTAGTCACAAAAATGTCATCGCCACAAACCGTTACGAATCACTCGATATGATATAGGTTACAGCCCTACCAATAAAGTCAACAACAATTTAAATCCAAAGTACTAGACTCACCGATAAAAATTTTATCGACATTTTAAGGGTATGTCGTTTATGATATTATAATCTCCACACTCGGTTAGCGGAAAAGATAGTTCAACTTACTATGCCTAACGACCTATAACCCGACTGACATCGAACGTCGTATAATCCACTTGTGTTGTGTATACAGGGTGCCTGCATGGTGTGAAAACGCGTCAAGATTGAATAGGGAGGCCACTCATTCTGTATATTTTAATATGGATGGAATACTCGTATCACAACTATTAACTGCGTTAATGATATTACAATTCATTATGCAAATATTATTGGGACTCGTTGTTCGGACGCTCGCGTTTATCCTGTTATTATTGTTATAATTATTATAATATTGTTAATTGTGGCAGACTCAGCCGACCGCGACGCCGCGAGTCGCGATCGCACGAAATGTTATCGTATTAATAGCATTATTACACACTACCCAAGCTGACGCCGTCGCGCCGACTGTTATAATTTTTTTTATCGTCTTCGTCATGTTAAAAACGAATAATTTATAATCGGCTCTCGCTGACGAGAGCGTTCGTGATGTGTGCAATAATCGGCAAACCACGCGTGTTATCGTATAGTTTTAGCGAGTCACCGTTTTTATTTTTTTTTTTGTTACACATAATAATATGTAAAGTACCTGTAACCCGAATATTTTCGGCATTTATGTGCTATTATTTCGTTTTGACACCGGTCACCGACCCATTAAAAAAAATTAATATACGCTCCATAAGTTTTGCACCGTGAAAACACGTTGACCGTCATAGGTATATATTATTCCAGGGTTTTTTAAACTGTGTCTTGAACCCTAGGGTTCCGCGGGGATATTCACTTCAGAGTTCCACTAAACTCTCTTTAAAATTTAAATTTAGAAGACTTGTTTGTCTGTTATTTAAAATATTTTTTGAATTAAATATACACAATATTATTAAAATGTGAAATTATTAAAATTTTTATTGCAAATAAACCTTACATAAAATGTCACTAAAAATGACTATTGAAACAAAATATAGGGGTTCTAATTATCGAGCTGTAATAACTTATTGTCGAAAGCTAAATAAAAAAAATCTAAAAAGCTGAAATAAATAAAAAGTAGGGGTTTCTCGATAAAAGTAGACTTAGGAAAGGGTTCCACGGATAAAAAAGCTCAAGGAACGCTGTATTATGCAATAATGCGCATTAATATAATTATATATATAATAATTAATATACGTAGTATAATGACCCATGATCATGACGTGGTCCAAGCCTTGACATATTATGCTCTTAAAAATGCATTCGAGACGATAAAAATATAATATTAATAATATGTCAATAGATACGAAAACTTGAAAATCAAAGTCGTACCTATATTATGTATTTGGAACACATTTTAAAAGTGTAGAGCCATAACAAAACTATTTATTATAAGATTCGTCAACATATTGTTATCTTAACCTTATACAGTGATAATATATAAAATGCTTTATAGCGCCTAATTTGTTTTACAGTTAGTCATGTAAAAAAAATACACTTAAGAGCCTCCACTGTTTTACACAATACTGTCCCGAAATTTCCGCTACTAAATATTATAAACATTTAAATTATCCATGAAAATATCGACAAAAAAATCAAATCATTTCATGGATGATCATGCATGCGGATGATAAAATATCGTAAAGTGTACACTATTATTTGTTAAGAGCACGTCTCACCCGCATGTGTTGTCTCCGTCTTACACACGTACTACATAGACAAAACGCGTTTAGGCAGTCTGAGTATAACTCGCTCAATTTTGGTTCTAGAGTAAAAATGCCTATTATGAAATTGAATTGTGATAATATTTCTAAGGGCAAGACGCGGCGGTTTTTCCATTATACCCAATATAACGTTCATTATATCGTTTAGAAATAGAAAAAATTTCACCATTTTTAAAATACCTTTGACTTTTAAAAAATTAAATTTTTTAAAAAAAAACCGCAGCGTCTTGCCCTTAGAAATATTATCACAATTCAATTTCATAATAGGTATTTTTACTCTAGAACCAAAATTGAGCGAGTTATACTCAGACTGCCTAAACGCGTTTTGTCTATGTCGTACGTGTGTAAGACGGAGACAACACATGCGGGTGAGACGTCCTCTAAACAAATAATAGTGTACACTTTACGATATTTTATCATCCGCATGCATGATCATCCATGAAATGATTTGATTTTTTTGTCGATATTTTCATGGATAATTTAAATGTTTATAATATTTAGTAACGGAAATTTCGGGACAGTATTGTGTAAAACAGTGGAGGCTAAACACTAACTGTAAATATCGATATCAACTAAAAATTTTGTAGTTTCTCAATAATATATAATGTATATAGTATGGAGGCCTATATTATCAATTTTATAATATACCCTACAAGTGATGGATCGATTAGAATTCACAAATTACGGGTAGGTATCTGCAATATCAGAAGTATGAAACTTTTATCTAACGCGGAAAAATTATATTATAGCTGTAAATATTAAAAATGTCGCTTTTTAAGTTTTTACGAACACTACATTTTTAAAAATAAGTTTAGTTTACCAATCCGCATAATAGCAATAATAAATGTTAGTTGCTATTCATCCTATAATAATAATAATAATAATATACAAATTAGCTACTCTAAAAATACACACCGAATAATATTGGCAAACATATAAGATACAAACACTGGAAACTTTTAGGATCCATCCAAATTATTATTATAGTCAACCCAAAATGTAATCATTATAATATGCAGAAACGAATAATGATAGATAAAAATCACATTCAGAAT